AATAGTTAATAATAATAGTTAATAATATAAAAATAATAGTTAATATATAAGAGAAGAGCAAATGGAGGTCATTTCAGGAGATAAAACATTTAAGTTAGGAAAATAACTGTTTAAAAGAAGATACCTTAAATTTGAAGGAATCTCAAATAAGGCAGTCTGGAAAGTCTCTATTTAAACACATTTCCATTTTTCTTAAAATTTTTGTTTCCTTTTGTCCCCACTTGAAGAACGCCATCTTACTAGATGGCAAGGTTTACCAGGTTCATCTCAACAGGATGAAATAATATCATGAATGGTAGTATAACTTCCCATCTTACACAGGTGTTCCTTGTTTGCCAGTCTTATACTGTTCCTTATGAAGCTCTTGATTTGGTTCTTTGAAATCAAGTGGATAAGGGAATCTGATTTCTGTGGGTGGGTGTTATTGGCAGATTCTTGTATCCACAGTTGGAAATTACAACCAGAAGATATTCTCTAGTGTTTTTTTATTCCTCCTGGGTAACTTGGAGCCCCAGTCCAGCACCTCTAATCAGAAAGAATCTGGTAATGAAGTTGGCTATTGGCTGGACCTCATGCGATGGGGCAAGTCTGGAATTGACTGATGTCTAGTCTTAGCAATAATAGAATTGAAAAAGATAACAGTGGTACTAAAGTTCTAGGTTAATGAGCAGTTTAGGTCTCTATTAGCTAAACGCAGCAAAGACCTCCAATTAAATTAGAAAGTATTAAAAAGCAAGCCATGAGGGAGAGAGCTAAATCAGTTAAAAAAAATTTTCTGATTCCTTATCATTGTTGAAGAAAGTTTGCCGTTATCTCTCATGGCGGTAAACCACAGAAATTTTCCTCACTATAGAAACCCATTCACAACAACAATGAGTAGGCAATATACCCTGTGATGGGCATTCAGTACCAAAGGTGTGTGTGTATGTGAGAGAGAGAGACAGACAGAGAGAGACAGAGAGACAGAGAAAGGCAGGGGGAGAGGAAGGGGGAAAGAGTAGGATGAGAAGGCTGAAGCTAAAATCAGTCTCTGTACTCCACTTGGCTACAGTAAAAATATTTAATTATAGGGTCAGCCCCGTGGCATAGCAGTTAAGTGCGTGCACTCTGCTGCTGACAGCCCGGGTTCAGATCCCGGGCGCGCACCAAGGCACCACTTGTCAAGCCATGCTGTGGCAGCATCCCATATAAAGTGGAGGAAGATGGGCACAGATGTTAGCCCAGGGCCAGCCTTCCTCAGCAAAAAGAGGAGGATTGGCAGATGTTAGCTCAGGGCAGATCTTCCTCACAAAAAAAAAAAAAAATTAATTATAGCCTGAGTGATAATTTACTTTGCAAACCAGAGGCTCTGTTTCCCTACTCTCATCCTTAGGACCACAGTGACAACGTGATTAGAGTTGCAGGGACAATGGCCCATGAGATGGGCCATAACTTTGGAATGTTTCATGACTCCTACGTTTGCAAGTGCCCTTCTACGGTATGTGTGATGGACAAAGCACTGAGGTGAGGCTGTCCGGGAAGATGCTATTTATCCCTGTTTTTGGTTCACTCTGGGCTGGCTCTTTTATGTCATTTTATACTTACCCTTTCTACACAAGACTGGTTTCAGAAAATCATTAGCATTTATCAAATTTTCAATGAACTCAGATTGGGTAGTGGTAGGGGAAAAGTTCTAGGAGAAAAATCTAATAAAAGAAGAAAGTTCTCACAGGAGGACGAAGAGAGAGTCTCTGAAAAGAGATTACACATTCCTGCCTTGCTTTAGGCAAAATTGCTAGGGAATTTTATGTTTAAAAACCCCACAGTCCTTTTTAAAGATTGATTTCCTTTTCTCTACTTCTCCCTCCCAGCTCACTCAAGCGAGGGTTAGTCTCCTACGCCCTTGCACAAATAGCGTACGGCTGCATATGCCAACTATATGTCTTATATTATCTCTCCCAGGTATTACTGCATTTTTAAACCCCATTTTTATTTGTAGAATTAAGAAGTTCTGTCAATAGGAATTCCTCTGCAGTAAAATGAATTCTTAGGCACATGAATAAATATGATTTTACTGCCTTTAGGACCTTACAACCAAAATGACCCAAGGCTGAAAAATATTATCTGGATAAGTCAGAAACACTTTTGTTTTATTAACAGCAGCCTGCATGCTTCACTTTGAGATATGACCATATTTGCCCATTAAGCTGGAGGAGTCTGTGTCCACTCACCTGGTCTAATTCCGGCACACACATGGGCTCATGATTTAGCAGTTGGTCAGTGGTTTGGATTTGATCTTTGGGGGCAGGTTTGGGGTATATGTCTGATATGGCCCCTACATGCTCAGCGTGACTGTGTTCTATTTTCTTTTTTCTTGTCTTCTCAGTTTCTACATCCCTACGGACTTCAGTTCCTGCAGCCGTGTGAGCTATGACAAGTTCTTTGAGGACAAATTATCAAAGTGCCTCTTTAATGCTCCACTGCCTACAGATATCATCTCCACCCCGATCTGTGGGAACCAATTGGTGGAAATGGGAGAGGACTGTGACTGCGGGACTCCCGAGGTACTACATGCACTTTCTAAAATGACCTCGTCTGTTTTTCAATTGCTAAGAAGATAACCATTCAATTATACACTGTGGTTCACTATAATATTGCATATTTGTTGTAATTTTGTGCACATTCGTTTGTAGAGATTTGTCAGGCCAGCCTTTCTAACAGCAAACACTACGCCGCTTAACAGACCAGCCTAATCTCCTTCTGTGGGTTGCTTCCTTATCCTCCGTTTAAGTACCATTCTCCACCTTGGGCTTTGTTTCCTCATCTTTCTCTTTCTGGCAGAAATGCTTCAGGTTTCGTCTGTGCCTGTGACTTACTGAGCAGCTGCACCGGGCACAGGGCTGTGACAGTGCTCAGAGTGTGACTAGCTCACCCAAGGTCCCCCAGCTGGTATATGGAAGAGCGAAGACCTGGATTCGGGTGTGTTTTGTTTCAGGAATCCCAGAGCCAACCTGCACTGGGATTGAGTTCATCTCCGTGCGACTCAGGAGTTGTTACCATGAGAAGTGCCTGCCCTGATACCCGCCTGTCCACAGGACAGCCAGGATTCTGAATGGGCCTTTGCCTCCAATCTAGTAACACTTAATATGAATACTACATCAAGCTCTCAGAGGGTCGGCATTTCAGTAACTTCAAAATAGGATTACAAAGTTATTCATTCCATGAGAAAGAGTAATCTTTCCCAAATTTGATGTTTATATTTGAAATAGGGCAAGAGTTTTAACCTTAAAAAGTTGTAACTCTGCATATATCACTCCTCTTCAGGAATCTAAATGGGTAGAGGGAGACGTTTCCGAGGGATGACTTTCTCCAACACCGTGTGCACGTGGCTGATTTCTCAGACAGATGGTGGAGAGAGCAAAACAAAGTATATTGCTTTGTGGAGACTTGAATTAAATGTCAAAATTGGATAAATAACTATATTTTGAGATTTTCATTACATCTTCTAGAGATTAAAATTATTGCTGAATGGGTGTCAAAACTAATCAGTGGAACTAATTACATTCTTTAACTATTTAGATGAATTTTATTTTTTTAATTGTCCTTTTCCTTTTATTTTCTCTCGTATTTTACCAAAAATAGATAATTTTCATTATTGCTATAGGAGACTGGGGAAATTAAAGATATTTAAATTGAAAAAATAAGGTGTAAATAGAATTCAAATGAACAATAAACCACTAGGTGTTCCAAAATCTCAATTTTTCTGATGTTAAGCTTTGTTATCTTTTATTTTTTTGAAAATTATTTTCAGACTATACCAAAATACGGTCTGTGTGATGAGTATGTTATGAATTGTGCTGAAATGGGACCAAAGAGTCATCCAGCCTTTGCATTTGTTTCTGGTGTTTCTTAGGAATGTACCAACATTTGCTGTGATGCAAAAACATGTAAAATCAAAACAAGTTCTCAATGCGCATCAGGAGAATGCTGTGAAAAATGCCAGGTAAGGTTGTTATTGTATTCTCTCTTAATAATTATGATTACTCTTTATTTTTTCTCTACTATCAGGGATTATGTTAAACGAAATAGGAAAAGCAATACTTTTCTGTCTATAAAATAATGCTACCTACCATTTATGAAGGCCGCATTGAGTGCTTTACAAACATGGGCTATTTGATCCTCCAACAACCCTGTGAGGAAGATATTATTATCTCATTTTGCTTTTGAGGGAGGCTCAGAACAGCAAATGTGCAAAATACTAGAGCCGTTAAATGGCAAACTCCAAACATGACCAGTTCCAAACATGGTGCTGGTTACTCCTACCCGCCGCTGCTTCTGATGCTACACGGCCTTCCTGGACCAAATCTCATAATTGTTTGCATATTCCTTTAACAATGGGTTCAGTGGAAAAGCTTTTATTTTGAATAATTTGGAGGCTTCCCTATCTTCAACCTTTGAAGTTACTTTAGGGTGAGATTCTTAGAAAAAAGACATGAATGAGGATGCCGCGTCATTGTCTTTGTGGGGCTTTTTTGACTTTCTCTTCAAGATAGAGTTTAGCATTTTACATACTATTGTTGCATAGAATTTACATTATGGTTATTTGTTTATGTGTCTGTCTCCTTAGATTGACTCCTAAGGGCAGGGGACTGATTCATCCTCAGCACAGAATTGCATACATTTTATATGCTCAATAACCATTTGTAGAATGAAGGTGTAGATTGCACACCAGTTAAAGCTAGCATTTGGAATAGATTTTTTTTTAATGTCAGAAGAAGAAGAAAGAAATAAAGGAGGCCAAAAGGAAGAAAATTTGAGAACTTAGGTAGTATTCAACAAGTGTTTATTAAGTGCTATTTGTTAGAGCTTATGGGAGATTAAAAAAAGTAGTCTTGACCTGCAAGAACTTGTGATTTCCTTAGGGCAATGATATACACACCCGAAACAGAGGAAAATATAATGCAAGATTAAATGCCCGGGTAGACATTATAATGATATATGCCTTTTGTATAATACTTTCCACATATATTTTTACTTAATTTTCATACTGACCTTGTAAAGTAGATACTAGATGGAGAAGTGGATTTTCAGCGAGATTCAATCCATTTTCTAAGGTTACACACTCAAGCACTGGCAGAGCTAAGATTCAGACCCACATCTTCCAAATTTGAATTCAGAGCTCTTTCCCCACCACATGTAGAAAAGAGGAACTGCGATTTGCATTGAAGAAGTCAGGGGAGCTTTCATGCACAATGAGGCTTTCACTAGTCTGGAAAGTAGTGTGTAGATTTTAGATAAGTAGACAGAGAAAAAATTTCCAAATGGGGAGGCTGAGAGAAAGAACAAAGACAGAACAGAAGGTATAAGCATGGTTTGTGTGACAGCTGGAAAGAAAGCTAGTCTGGCTGGAGCAGTGGGGGTTGAAATTGGAGGGTCTCATATACTCCAATTAAAATTAGGATTTTATTCTGTTGCCAGCATAAAGATACTGAAAGTTTTTTGATGACATGAGAGCATACCTCCTTGCTTCAACTAGGAAAAGATATGCTTCCAGTGTGCAGACAGACCTCTGCAGATTCATGTGAATGGCAGACTTTGTTTTAGTAAGGTTTCTCTGAGGAAATAAGAGCGAGATTTAAAGTAATAGAGTGCAAGGGAGTTAATGCATCAGGTAAATGTTTGGTTATTTCTCCCTCAGGATAAATCATTCCATAACAAGAAGTGAGTTGAAAAGAAATATCTGAGCATACAATAAAAAGAATTAAGGATTAGGAAATGTGATGCCTGGGAAAGCCTCAGAGCATGCTGATCTGGTGCTTGTAAGCTTATCTTCCTTCATATGGGAGATTCACTTCACCAATAAATCTCTGAAGTTGCAGATTTAAATCTCCTTGAAAATCTTGACAAAGATGCATTCAGCAAAGAGAGAAATAACTTCGTTCTTTGCATCTAAGATGTTCCTTGTTTTCTTCTATATTTGCACTACAAATTCAGAAATATTAAGTGCTTAAAGACTTAGGGCATTGGCCGAACTCAATAGCAGTGATATAATAGGAGATGGCTTTAGCTTATACAATGCAAATGTATACTGGAATAGAGTGATGCCTGTAACCAACTTGCCAGAAAAAGGCCAAAGGGACAATATTATTTGCATTAATTTGAGATATTAGATAAGTCAGGTGGAAAAAAGCCTTCTCTCCATTTTTACTTTCCTACAGTTCAAAAAGGCTGGTGCAGTGTGCAGACCAGCAAAAGATGAGTGTGACCTGCCAGAAATGTGTGACGGTAAATCTGGTATTTGCCCTGATGACAGATTCCGAGTCAATGGCTTCCCTTGTCAAAATGGGCAGGGCTACTGCTTGATGGGCACGTGCCCCACACTGCAGGAGCAGTGCACCGATCTGTGGGGACCAGGTAGGAGGACACGCCAGTGTGGCTGGCATTCCTGCCTCTCTATGCACATGCAAACAAAACTCATATTATTCCATGTGACAGTGTTTATTCACGGCCACAGCAGCATGCTGTCCATTCTTTTTCCTTAGAAACTGTGCCACTGCTCGAAATCCTGGATAAGTGCATTTTAGGACTTAAAGTCAATTTTGGGGTTGCTAGATTTAGCAAATAAAAATAAGGATGGTCCATTTAAATTTTAATTTCAGATTAACAATTTTTTTTTTTTTAGTATCAGTATGTTTTGTGCAATATTTGAGGTAGACTTACACTAAAAAAATTCTTTGTTTATCTGAAATTCAAATTTAACTGGGTGTCCTGTACCTTGGTAACTGTAACCAAGATTCTATTCAGATAAGTAAACCCTTGGAAGTCTGCATGTGTGTGTGTGTGTGTGTGTGTGTGTGTGTGTAGGGGTGGCAGGAGCGCTGGGAGATAGGCTGAGAATAAGGTACACCATAAAAAAGAAATTAAAAATAAAATCATAACTTAAAAATCTCTGAAAACTTTAAGCCAAAACTTAAATTGTGCTAAATAGCTTAATTAGAAAGGCAATTTTAAAAATATCAATTCTTTGGACTTCATGGATATGACGTATATTGTGTACGTATGTTTATTTTTCATACTTTTTTCTACTACACTTCCAAATTCCTACTTAAATCGCTGAAGGAATATTTTTTTTAAATAGGGAAAATACATATTCCTAAGAGTATGTGAAGAGGGTTATCACAGGCCAGAAACTTTTCATAATTCCTGAAAATATATGTAAAACAACATTAGAGATTCACAACACACTCAGAAAAAAAGAAACCAGTTAAAGACCCTGTGCTTCCTTGGGCGGCTTCACTATATGGCAGAAACCCGGGGGGAAGACATTTTCGGCACAGAGGTGAAGCTCTGAGCATCCTCTTTATTATCTGGTAATAAATCACTGCAATAAATACTATTCCCTTCTCCTTTTGCCTGACCCTTCTGCCTTCCCTACAAATCTGTAAACTTTCTACTACCTAGATGCTGTTTTGTTCACAGTTGTATTTCCAGTGTGTCCCAGCATAGTGCCTGACTTTGGTAAATGTTCAAAATTATCTATTGAATTCATGTTGAACATATTTATCTGATATTGGAATAGGGACGAACTTTTAAATCATATGTTTAAAGGCAGACCTTATAAAGGCCAAAGAAATAGATTTGCCTAAATAAAATTGAAAATTTTACAATTTATAAGGGGTCAAATATGTATTTTCAATTAATCTTCAAAGCTTGAAGAGTCTTATAGTGTATATAAGGGGGAAAAATCACTCTCTTTAACATCCAATCATTTCTATAAATCAATTGGAATTCCAAATATTGAAAAACGTGACCAAGTCACAAACAGGCAATTCATCATAAAGTCCAAATGTCTAATAAACATTAACATCACCTTACCTCACCAGCAAGAAGTACGAAGTACCATTAATGCATCAGAAAGTGTAATATATAGTAAGAAATATGAATGGAAACAAGTTAATCTTCTACACTTGTTAAATCGGCAAAGGTGTGTCACAGTTCATGCTCCGTGTCAGTGAGGATGTGATAAAACACCTATTTTCGTACACTCTGATAAGAAAATGAATTAGCATAATCTTTTCAGAGAGAATTTGGAAAAATGTATGTACAATCTAAAAAGAAAATATACTCCTTTCCCTAGCAATTGTACCCAGGAATATTTATTTACAAAGAATTTTCAGCCAGCATTTTTTTAAATAATAGTACATAATTGGGAAACATCTCAAAGTCCAAGAATAAGGATTATTCAAATAAATTATAGTGTATATCTCCCCAATGCAATTATTACAGCTATGATAGTGTAGAATTTTTAATACCTGCAGAAAGGACAAGTATATTGTCAATTGGGGAAAAGTAGCTTCTGAAGCAGTGTGATACCAGGTACATGAATGATCCTTTGCCCAACATTAGCAGCAATAACTCTCAAGTTTGAGATTATGAATATGTTTTTTCCTAGTTGTTAATGCCTAATTATTCAATTTTTTACTATAGGTATTTTATTGAGATAGTAAGGAAAGTATAAACGTTACTAAGATAAAATAATCAAGAAAATATGGTAATAAAATTCATTTTATCATCTTGGACATTGAAACATGAAATTCATTTAGAATGGTTTGAGTTTATAAATCATCATAATAGGTTTAATAATTTTTCTTGAAACTGTGCAATATCTTTATAGGTTTGTGATTATTTTTAACCAAGTTGTTGTTTTTTCAAAGACTGGGTTCAAATTTTCCTGGTCTTTATTGATCTTCAAGAGGGGCATCCCAGCACAGAAGGAGCATATGTCTTAGACTCAACAGAGAACTGGGACTGAAGTCTGGTTTTTCATCTCTCTCTGTGACTTTAATCAATATGATCCTTCGTTTCCTTATTGATAAAATGGGAGTGATAACAAGAATGGCTAATATTTATCAACCATGTACTACAGCCCAGGCACTATTCTCAGTGACTTGCGTATATGAACCATTTAAAACTCGCAACAACCCTAGGAGGTAGGTACTATTATATAGATTGTCATTGTACAACAAACCAAGAGGAGAGGTTAAGGCACTTGCCCAAGGTCACACACCTGCTTGTCTTACTTAACGCTTGAGCTCTTCGTCACTATGTTCTGTTGCCCGTCTGAGGGGGATCTGAGGAAGATCACGTGAGAAATTAAACAGTGATGCTTATCACTGTCCTGGCACAGAGTAGGGGTTTGACTAAGCATAGCAGGTAATTGTCGAGGTAGCACATATCAGCAGAATAGCTTTCCAATATCTGCCTGCGGGCTATTAACATAATGACTGTCGCTCTCCTGGTCTTCATATTTAGATGAATTTTTTTTTAACCTTCAGCAAATCACCCACATGGTTCCAAATATTTAGAAAGCCGTTATTCCATTTAAATAGAAAATTTAAAAGATTATTATTAATTCCAGTCATCTCTCTTGATATCAAATTTTTGCAGTTTATATTTCTGAGAATGGTCAATGAGATTATGCTAAAATAGCACTTCTCATGCGATACATTTCATTAATTTTATATTTCATTAATCCTTTGTAGAATTGAACTTCTTATCTCTTTTCTTTTCGAATGTGTCCCTACTGACCATGCCTGGTCCCAGAAACCAAGGTTGCAGATAAGTTGTGTTACCACAGGAATGAAGGTGGGTCCAAGTACGGGTACTGTCGCAAAGTGGACGACACACGCATTCCCTGTAAAGCAAAGTAAGTAACCTTGTGGTTTGAACCCTCCTGCTCCAAAAACTAGCGGAATTGCCCACTTCCAGCCATACATTCTGATTTATTCCATTTAAAGAGAAAGTGAATTTGGACATCATTCATTTGATAAACATTCATTGAGTGACTATTTTGTGCCATGTTTTAGGCTAGGCACTGAATTAAAGACAAATAAGAAATGATTTCCTTTATCCAGTCCCTCACGGTGGGTGCTTCAGATGACAACGAGTACAGTCACTGTTAAATAGAATAAATCTTTGAGGTGGAACATGCAACAGTGAATGGGCCTGGCTGGAAGTTTGTACGTGGATTTTCCAGTATACTTTAGGTGCTTTTCCATCAAGTGTCTTTCATCGTGATTCTAGGGATAGGAATATTTATCTACTCAGAGGAATAACCAATACAATATTTATACAGTTTTATTTAAACTTGCCATGGCATTACATAAAGAAACAAAGTACAGTAAAAGATGGACAATTCACCTGAAGAATTTATTTTACTTTTTGTATTGATATTCTGGAAAACTTATAGAATATCATAAGCAATGAACTTGAGATTTTACTGTAAGTTTTTTTGATTATGCAATTTTAAGATGACTTTTAAAATTCAAATTATAATAGATTAAACTTTGTACCTGCTCCAAATTTTACACATACCAAGTAATGTGTAACAAGAGATTGAACAAGGTTGTGTTTTCAAAGATTTTTATTGAACAATACTTTTTCTAGATAATAGATATTGCCAAACAAACTACATTTTGGACATAGGGTCATCTCTTGGGGAGTCTAGCCCTAAAGGACAATCATATCCTGTGGTCTTTCCTTTACAGGAAATCAGGACAGATGCAAAAGGGAAAGAAACTATGTAAGAGGCAATATGTGTGTGTTGGGGTGGAGGCAATATGTAGTTTGAGATGTAGTGAGTGGGAAGAGAGTAGGGTAGTTCCGGCTTTCCTCTGTAGCACGTACACACACTATTGTTCTGTATAACTGTTCATATGAGCACTGGATAGTTTCTGTAACTGGAGGCACAAGCATTTCATTGTTTCCACAGGCTGACTTCCTAGTCACTTCTTAGTAGTCATTGGCTATAGTGGAGAGTAAGCCTGGCATTCCTTGTGCTCCAGAGCCTTCCTCATAAAACTCTACTTAAATGATTCAAGAAAAATATCTTCTCAAGTGTGGAAAGAATGCATGCCTTTCTTCACTCCTCAATCATATTTTCTAATAGCCACCAGAGATATCAGAAGAATCTGATTCTATCACTCTCAGAATAGTTTTTCACAGCCCTCCTCTGAATTCTGCATAAAACAATTGACTCCAATTTTATTGGCATTGATTTATTCACTTTGGCAGGAAATGAATGGCTTTATTGAGTCTTGAGTAGTTTTGTCTGTATTTGCAGGGAGGTAGTTCTTTCAGTAAACCTGCATGGCGTCTTAGAGTGTCAAGGTTCAGCCTTTTATTAACAGAATGATGGTTGAATTATTCTGCTGCAATTCATGAAAATACATAGGTAAACTTAGCTGAGCAAGATAGAAACTGATTTCCTAGGAGCCCTCCGTGATGTGAGAAATCCATCCTCCTTCTATCTTATAGCTCTATTGTACATATAACCCCTATTCCCAGTTGTTTCTCTTGGTCTATGATGGCTTCTCCAGCTCCAGCCATCACATTCTAATAAGCAAAAAGGAGAAAAAATAGAGGAGTAAGACATACTCCCTCACATAAGGCCACCTTCAAGAATTTGTAGTTAAGATTCTGCTTTCTTCCCATCGGCCAGAACTTAGGCAATTGACCAAAATTAGCTGCACAGGAGTCTGCGAATCGTGGAATTTTTTGAGCAACAATGTGCCTTGTTAATATTCAGTGGTTCTATTACTGAAGAATAAGGGGAAAAATGATATAAACAAGAACTAGGAGTCTCTGCTATAGGGAGAAATACTATTAGTTAAATATTGATAGGAAGCTGATTTATATTTGTATAAAACTACAATTTGGATCCTGGTATTTCAACTGCAGCAAATTTTGGCTTTTCCTCAGTGATGCCATGTGTGGGAAGTTGTTCTGTCAAGGTGGGTCAGATAATTTGCCCTGGAAAGGACGTGTAGTAACTTTCCTGACATGTAAAACATTTGATCCTGAAGACTTCAGTCAAGAAATAGGCATGGTAGCCAACGGAACTAAGTGTGGAAACAAGAAGGTAAGTTGAAATTGTAGCTTTTACTCAAGTGTTCTTTTTTTGTGTTGTTTGTTTGCTTCTCAAGGCCTTCTTGTGTTTCATGGAGCATACTTTTCAAAGCAATACTTATGCCATTCATTTATGCGTGCCTGCATTCATTCCTTCGATATTACTTAAAATGTGCTTAGCACTAGGTTGTGAAACTTAGATAAATCTTGTTGCCCCCAAATCGGTAGGTTCTCAATAAATGATAGCCACTCTGATAACAATGAAGAGAATAATATCAATACTATTTATTGTTACGTAAATGACAATTATTTTAATTTTGCAGATGATGTGATATTAACATGTTTTCTATAATATTTTTTGGAATGGGTACCTTGTCTCATGTGCAACGCTTAGTCCAGTGGTAAATATCAGTCTTAAGAATTGGACTGAAGAGGAGGATTAAGGGAATGACCCAGGAGGAATGAAGTGAAGTTAAGGAATCTTCTTTAAAGAGGACTTTCTAAATATTTTATTATAAAAATTATCTAGATCCCATCTTCCTATTTTCAAAAGAGTGCTGTGATTTCTTTAATAAAAAGGTAAGTTTGATAACAAAAATAGTGGCTAATAATATAAGACTAAATTCCAAAGAGTCAACAATTTGCAGAGCTGAAGCCACTGGACAGTAATGTAAACTTCATGTTTTTCACGTCATTTTCAGGTTTGCATTAATGCAGAATGTGTGGATATCGAAAAAGCCTACAAGGCCACCAATTGCTCCTCGAAGTGCAAAGGACACGCTGTAAGTTTTGAAAATGTTTCCCCCAAGCTTGACGAATCTATGTAATTTTAGGTCAGCTTTGATGGTGTTAAAGTAGTGTTTCAGCATTAAATGATTAAAATTAGTAAATTTGCCTAACCTTTCAGTAGTTTGGTACCATGAAAAATTTCTTCTACGAACCTGGTATTGAAATTTCTGTTACTGATTCATACATTCTCTAGACAACTGAAATGCTGCAGGGTAGGGGTTATTCCTTTTTCAGAATGGACTTAATTATGGATGAATAGGCCCTTGGGGTTGGTGGTGAGTCTAGTGTGGAAAGTAACAGGGTCGTTGCTCCTCTAGGTGTGTGATCACGAGCTCCAGTGTCAGTGTAAAGAGGGATGGGCCCCTCCTGATTGCGATGACTCCTCAGTTGTCTTCCGTAGGTAACATTACACGTCTAACCTGAGAAAATTGTTCTCCTCTTCCAAGCTTTTATTTCATATTACATAACATTTCATTGCCTTCTTTCTCTCCTCTTGGAATTCCTGTTCTGTAGATATTGAATCCACAATATTAGTCTTCAAAGTGTCTTTAATAACTTTTTAGTCATATTTTCCACATCCTTATGCTTTTACTGTATATACAAAGATATTTCCTCAAATTTTATATTTGTAATCTTATTTTAATTATCCAAATTTTTTTGCTTTATGATCATTGCATTTTCATAGTAGCCTTGATTTAATGTATAGATATAGTATCCTCATAAAACTCTCTAAGAATATGACTTAGATTATTTTTGTAAGTTCATTTCTGTTCTCTGAATAATCTCTACCTCTTTTGAGTTTGATTGTTTTGTTTTTTCACCCTGTCTCTTATATTTCATTGTGCTGTTTTCCTTCAGGATATGTGATGCTTAGTTGAATGTGGAATTAGGTTGACATGAATTAGCTTACATGGGTTTTCTTTGCATGTTGGTGTGCTTGTTGTACCTACCGATACCTCTCCTGATAGAAGATCTAGCTGTGAGCTCTAGATAGGCAGATCTTCCTACAGGCCATCAGGGTGGGAAGTACCCAGAGTAGGGATCCTCACCTCCAATCGCCATGATGAGAAGTAATATACTACAAAGCTATAGTAACCAAAACAGCATGGTACTGGCACAAAAACAGACACACAGAACAATGGAATAGAATCGAGAGCCCAGAAATAAACCCACACATCTATGGACAGCTAATTTTCAACAAAGGAGCCAAGAATATGTAATGGAGAAAGGAAAGTCTCTCCAATATATGGTGTTGGGAAAACTGGACAGCCACATGCACAAAAATGAAAGTAGATAATTATCTTACACCATACACAAAAATTAACTCAAAATGGATTAGACTTGAATGTAAGACCTGAAACCGTGAAACTTCCAGAAGAAAACATAGGAAGTACTCTCTTTGACATCAGTCTTAGCAACATATTTCCAAGCACCATGTCTGACCAGGCAAGAGAAACAATAGAAAAAATAAACGAATGGGACTACATCAAACTAAAAAGCTTCTGCACACCAAAGGGAACCGTCAACAAAATGAAAAGACAACGTAACAATTGGGAGAAGATATTTGCAAACCATATATTTGGTAAGGGGTTAATCTCCAACATATATAAAGAACTCATACAGCTCAACAACAAAAAAACTAACAACCCAATTAAAAAATGGGCAAAAGACCTGAACAGACATTTCTCCAAAGAAGATGTACAGATGGCCAACAGGCACATGAAAAGATGTTCAACATCATTAACTATCAGGGAAATGCAAATCAAAACTACAATGAGATATCACCTCATGCCCATCAGAATGGCTATAATTAACAAGACAGGAAACAACAAGTGTTGGAGAGGATGTGGAGAAAAGGAAACTCTTATACGCTGCTGGTGGGAGTGCAAACTGGTGCAGCCGCTATGGAAAACAGTATGGAGATTCCTCAAAAAATTAGGATAGAACTACCATATGATCCAGCTATTCCACTGCTGGGTATTTATCCAAAGAACATGAAAACACTAATGCGTAAAGATACATGCACCCCTGTGTTCACTGCAGCATTATTCACAATAGCCAAGACTTTGAAGCAACCCAAGTGCCCATCAAAGGACGAATGGATGAAGAAGATGTGATACATATACACAATGGAATACTTCTCAGCCATAAGAAGCGATGAAATCCAGCCATTTGTGACATCATGGATGGACATTGAGGGTATTATGCTAAGTGAAATAAGTCAGAGGGAGAAGGTCAAATACTGTATGATCTCACTCATAAGTAGAAGATAAAAATAACCACAAACAAGCACATAGAGACAGATTGGATTGGTGGTTACCAGAGGGGAAGGGGAAGGGAGAGGGGTGAAAGGGATGATGAGGCACATGTGTGTGGTGATGGATTGTGATTAGTATTTGGGTGGTGAACGTGATGTAATCTATGCAGAAATAGAAATATAATGATGTACTCATGAAATTTATACAATGTTATAAACCACTGTTACCGCAATAACAAAACGAAAAAAGAAAGAAAAGAAATCGCTCTAAGGAGAGAGCTCTTCGTTGCGTTTACTTACTGAAAGAGCTGCTTTTCCGCAGTGCGCTCATTTATTCTCCCATCTCTGTCTCTGATATAGTATGGCTAGCTACAGTTAGCCTCTCTTCTGCTTCTCAGGTTCTTGCATCCTGCATTGCCTTTGGAGAGCATTTCTCAGGGCATTGTCCTGAAGCATGACTCACTCTTGTTCCATATACATAAGGGATGGGGACGGGGATACGGAGGGGTATGGACCTGAATGAACTGTCTGTCCCAAGTACAGATTCTCTGTTGGCTTCGCCCCCTGCAAAATAGCATCTTCTTCTGATGTTTGAGCTATTTTTTTTAATTTGTTGATTCTTTGTTAGACTTCTCAAGAGGGAATAACATTTATTTCTGATGTTTGGAGCTATAATTTAGTGTTTCTGCCCATCTAAATTCCTTTGCTTCCTATCTTTCTGCAATTTCTAAAAATTCTTTACTATTTTTTTCTAGCGCTCTATGATTTTATTAAATATATATATATATATACACATACATATATGCTATTTAGGATGTGTCATCTAGGATTTAGATAGGGTAGGGGGATAGATGCATGAACACAATCAACTACTTTAATTAGATAGCTCTTTAATGGTGCCAACACTCACTAAAAATCCTTTTAAACTATGACTTCCCTCTTCTTGAACTCATTATTTTGAGTCATCTACTGATTTGCTAAATCACCTCCACGAGTAATTTCTTCTTTCTTCTTTCCTTCTACATTAAACTTCCTCAGTTGCATTTATGAGAATTTATTTCTGTTGCTAAATAGAAAACAGGAATAGTGGGTAGAATTGGATTGGATTTTTTGAATCCCAGTTTTAATTTCATGAGTCTATTGCAGTAGATACCAATATTTAATGTTAGTCAACTGAGGCTACACTGACTTTATTATTATTGTTGCTAAATAACCCCTTTAAAAATCATTAGGTTTATTTTTTTAATGCTTTTAGAATTGCTACTTAATGAAAACTAATCACCTTGATACACCTGAGTGTTGCTCTCTTTCCAGTATCTTGATTGTTAGCCAGTGAGGCCTTTCAAACTGAGGATTTGGTTCTTTCTTCAGTTCAAGGAATGTTTCTCTTGTTACAGGTTTTAAAATTGATTCTGTCCCACTTTTCTGGTTTCTAATTCGGAAACATAAATTATTTGTATGAAATATCTCTACTGTGTGGCCTTCACGTCATCTTTTTTCTGACTGTCCTTTTCCTGTTATTTCTGGAAAGTGTTTCAAGATCATTCTCTATATCATAGAGTGAATTTTTGACAATGTCAGCACCCCTATTTATTAGTTATAATAACATTTAAAATATTCAGTGGCGTTTTTGTTTCCTTGAAACACTTGCATGCTAATCTATTGTTTTCTGTTATTTCATATTTTGGCTTTTTTTAATCATCTATATTTTAATTTTATTGAGAGTACCAAGCAGATGCCACCCTAAATTTACTTTGATTCTTTATAATTTTTTCCTGAAAAAATGCATTTTATATATATTCTATTTCTAAATATTATTTTACATCTAATCTTTTCATACTTTTTATGCTTTTTTTCTCCTTAATTACTTAGGAATCCAATAAAGTAGAATCAATTCTGACACACTCTATTGAAGTATTTCCTAAAAACTTTCGCTTGGAGGACTGGTGATGCAAATTTACATTATATTACGCCAAATTTATGTCTTAAAGGGTTCAAGGAGGCAGCTGGAGTGCTTCATAGTAGAAATGGGGGAAGTTTTTCTCTGAATAGCTTCTTCTATTTGTTGAAAGCATTGCTTCAACAGCATTCAACTTTATCTGCCAGGTATTCTTTTTGTTTTGGGACATTGTGTTGGTGAGTTTGGTTCCATTTCTGGTGTTACTTCTAACCTAACCGTGAAGGAAAGCCTCCACCAGACTGAGGAAAGTCCCTAGCTCAGGCAAGTGTCTTGTCACCTACAGGATAGATCCCAGAGGATAGTTTTCTTGATAGCCAGGCTTCTAAATCTAAACTCGAATGAGAAATATTGCAGCTGTATTTTCATTAAATTCTAACTAAAATTTAGAATTTTCTACAATTACAGGAAGGTAAGGCAGTGAACCACAATAGTATTAGTAGTTCTCATGACTTCGTCACCAATAGAAATTACAAATATTTTTACATCACATTGCAGTTGCTGCATGTATCTCCAAACATCATACATGCATATCTCTAGTTTGAAATTATGGTAGTGATTAATCCAGTTAAGTTTTATAATTTAAGGGGTTAATAAAGAAGCACATTATTTAACTGTATCACAAATTGTTTTATAACATTTTGACAACAGAACTTTCTCTTTAATCCTATGCATTTTATTAATGAATTTAAAAACATTCAGAGAAGGAGTTTATAGGCTTTATCAGATTTCCAAAGCAATCTGTGCCACGAAAAAAATGTTAAGATCCCTACTCTGTAGTGTGGCTATACACGGCTGTGGGCTTTCGAGTTTATTTTAATTAAAACCAGTTTTTGTGAAAATATAATATATATGGAAAAATATATAAATAGACATATAATATAGCATGTACTATTGTTTGTAATATAGAACAGATATTCATTTACATATATAAATATAAAAATGAAATATAAATTATAAAATGTACATTCATACAATACAATCTGGGCCAAGAAACAGAGCATTGCCCAGACATCTTCTCCCTTTGCCTTGTCCCAGTCCTAATGTCTTCTCTCCCTCTAAGGGTTAATCATTAACTTGTCTTTTATTATAGCATTTTGTTACTTTTCTTCATAGTCTTCCCTCCTAAATACGTATTCCTAAACAATATATTCTGTGTTTTGCTGTTTTTGCACTTTATAT